CAGATCAGTAATGTTGACCAATGTGTCCTAGATTTCTCAGAGGCAAGCTGAGGGGATCCATCTGACCTCAGGGTTAAACAGTATGACAAAGATGGGGAGAGGATTAATTTAAGATTGTGCAAGTACACTGAGCTGTTTACAATGTGAATTCAGGCATGTCGCCAAGCACTGGTGCGACTTCAGATCTCTCATCTACAAAAGTCCTTGAAAATTCATTTTAGATCTAATGGCAAGGTTATAACTTTATGATGGGAATTTCTAGTGACCCAATTACCCTCCATTTCTGTTCAATATTGCTATTAATATTCCCTCTTGATATTGGTTAAAATTAGGTTGTTGGGCTGGCGACATGAACAACAGGTTAAGCCTCTGCCCATGACACTGGACTCCATATGGGAGCACCAGAGTCCCAGCCGCTCCATTTCTCATCTAGCTTCCTGCTAATGTGCATGGCAAGACAATGAAAGATGGCCAACTATTTGACCCCTGCCCCCAAATGGATACCAGGATGGAGTTCATGGTTCCTGGCTTCATCCTGTGGCCATTTGGGGAATGAACCAGCAGATGGAAGATCTATTCCCCTTCAGCTCTCATTCCTCATTGGTAACTGCCTTTCAAATGTTAAAAATATATCTTTAGAAAAAGGATTGCTTTATATTCATCCATTAAGCAGTTTTCTACAGTTTTCTAACTATCACAATAAAGAAAAGACAATAGTTTCTTCACCATTAAAGAAATGCAATATATGGAGTCTGATACAGTAGCCTGGTGGTTAAAGTCCTCGTCTTGCAAGTGCTGGGATTCCATATAAGTGCTGGTTCTAATCCCGGCAGCCCTGCTTCCTTTCCAGCTCCCTGCTTGTGGCCTGCGAAGGCAGTTGAGGATGGCCCAAAGCCTTGGGACCCTGCACCCATATGGGAGACCTGGAAGAGGCTCTGGGCTCCTGGCTCTGGATTGGCTCAGCTCCGACCATTGTGGCTGCTTGGGAAGTGAATAAGTGGATGGAAGATCTTCCCCTTTGTATATCTGACTTTCCAATAAAAATAAAATAAATCTTAAAAAAAAATTACCTGACAAGATCAAGTACCACATAAAAATAATTCAGCATGATCAAGTGCCAATGTTAAGATTGACTTAACATAAAAAAAATCAGTATGTCAATGTTAATAAAGAACAAAGTCACATGATCATCTCAACAGGCAAAATATGCAACAAAATCCAATGTCAATTGATGAAAAACCTCTCAAACTATAAAATTCACTGTATTTCTACATTCTACAGATGCACGACCTGAAAGTATAATTAAGAAAACAATTCTGGGCCCGGCGCGGTGGCGCAAGTGGTTAAGGTCCTCGCCTAGCACGCCCAGGATCCCATATGGGCACCGGTTCTAATCCCGGCAGCCCCGCTTCCCTTCCTGCTCCCTGCCTGTGGCCCGGGAAAGCAGTCGAGGACGGCCCAAAGCTTTGGGACCCTGCACCCGCGTGGGAGACCTGGAAGAGGCTTTGGATTGGCTCAGCTCTGGCATTGTGGCCACTTGGGGATTGAGCCAGTGGACGGAAGACCTTTCCTTCTATATCTGCCTTTCCAATAAAAATAAATAATAAAGCTTAAAAAAAAACCCTCTTGTATTCTTGAAATAATTACCATAACAATAATGTGTAAGTAAATGCTTCCTAACAGACATTTCTGCCTCAGGTCTCTAATTGTAGCAGTATAAAATAAAATTTGAGATTTTAAAATTTTATCTCCTGCCCTTCACCCACCTAATGGTGTGTTAATCTAACTGCACACCTCCCACCGCTCATCATGGCCCTATGCTAATTCTAAAGTTCATTTAAATCTAGCCATGTGTCTTGTGTTGCTGACTGCCTGGGCCTTTCTGAAGTTGGCAGAAAATCTCCAATCAAGTCTGATGTCACAACCAGAATGCAAGAGATTAGTGACCACGGGAGCAGCAGACTCAGTGTACAGCCTTTCAGGCTAGAGAACAGCATTACGCCACAAACCAGAATCTGAAGCCACTGACCTCGCTTTGGAAAACCCAAAGTTAGTAATTACATTCAAATTGATTTTACATGCCAGTTTTTGTTTCCTCTGTTATTTTTACAGTTTGAGTGTCCTTTGTGGTTACCCAAAATATTTGCTGAAAGGCACATAGTAACATTTAAAATATCTGACATATAATAATAAAACAGGTTTTACAGTTTGTGTAACTCTGGATTAAAATGTAATTGGCATTTTTTTAAAACCTAAAAACATTGCTCATATCTATCCAAAGTTTAGCCTAGCAATTAGTGCTGCTAATTATGGCAATTAACATACTTAATTCCTTTTTAAACTGAGGAATAAATAGGGTTTTTTCTTGTTTTTGTTTTTAGCTGTAAAGTGTTAACCCAAATACAGAACTGTAAGGATCCTACCAGTGGCACACTTTCACCTTTCCCCCAGAAAGGTCAACTGTTTCTAGAAAGAGAAGTAAGCCTGAAGCTACACATTTAGAAAGGAAAGCAAGTCAAGGAGCAGCTGTGCAGAGCTGGAGGGAGCTGGGGAGGGAGCCAGGTCAGTGTGCAGAGTTTTGACGACAGCTCACGGCAGTGCCTGGCTTTTTCATAACCATATACTTAATGAAAACAAATCTAATTAGCACCACAAGCAAGAAGAAGCACAAGTTATGTTTGAAGGTGTGATTAACTTTCACTGAACTTTCCACTGAAGGAACTGTGCTTGCTAAACCCAATTCAGGGGCCCCAGTGTCACACACAGGTCACTGGTCTGTGCTGCTCACACAGTTAGCTGAAATCTTCAGACACCTGTTCCTTGTTAGGGATAGTGACTTCCTGTGCATGTGTGGGTAGTTACTTAAATATAATGTGCACCCAACTTTGGAGATGATGCTCACAAAATGGAAATGGAGAGTAAGTCTGTCTGTGTGTCTTTGTATCTATACATTTACTGACAAAGGGGAAAAGGTTTATTTTTTTTGTGGCACAAAATTCAGGTCTATGACATATTTATTTCCAAGGTATTTCAGGTATTATTAGAATAGAATACTTAGCACAAAATAAAATCAAACAAAAACTCAAAAAGACAACTTTTCTATTTCTATAATAAAAGGATAAAATATCTCCTGCAGAAATAAAATCTGTCTCCCTTGGGAAAATCTAGGGGAAAAAGCTGAATGAAGTAACACAGGAGGAGTTCACAAAAGATTTCAAACAGATTGCTTGCCATGACTATAAATCAATTACAGATATCCAAGTCTATGAGAATGTGTTGGTTATATAACATGTTCTTAGCAGTTTGCAAACTTCCATCTCTTGTCTCTTAAAAACACAGATGAAAAAGAAACCTGTTTTATTATTATCTGTTTACGACCACAATTTAGAAAGTTGCCCTATCAGGTTTTCTATTTGCCCTTAGCACTACAGAGCCTCACAAACCTTATTTAAAGAGCTAAGAGCTAGTGATGTCTTTAAGGGAACACAAAGTGCAGTAACTGAATTAAAAATCTGGAGCTTTTTAAAAGCACTATTTTGTAACTTCTAGAAATTACTACTTTTTTGGTTAATCATTAAATTAATAGCTGCTGAATAATTACAGGGCCATAGTATCTAAATTAAAGCAGTAACCATGAAATATTTTTAATTTGGTCATTTACTTACAGAGAATTTACTAATTATCTTTCTCCATCTTGGAAAGCAAGTAACAACAGCATGAATGTCCCAGCAGCCCTCCCAGCAGAACAGGCTCCCTTACTGTTCTTCCCTAGCTGTTTGGTACAACTGGCCTCTCCTCATGGACCACAGCAAAGAACAGCTTGCTACCAGGTCCCACTGCAGTCCTCCCCGCCCCCAGCCCTCAGACTGCAACTCTGAGCGAAAATAATGCAAAATACAAAAACTCATACAGAAGACCTACACAGTAGTAACAGAGCTCACACAAATAATTTAATGTTCTCCAAGCAAGCCCTCATGCAAAGGCAGCGAAAAACTTGACTAACATTTTTGTAAGTTTGTTTTGAAGTTAAAAAGTGGGCATTTATAGAAGATAGCATTTTAACAAGGGTTATTTGGAAATACGTGTTCGGCAATCATTCTGTGGAGTTTCTTAAAAAAATTATTACTGCCTCAATAAACCTAAAGGCATTCTTACAGAATTGAAGGGACATTACCTCGCTGCTTTCAGTACTCTCCTCAAGCACTTTTACGTCAGGAAGATTTAAAATAAACTTAGTAAAGGGTATTTACTAACCCATGAAATTACGGATAACTAAAATAATTAAGGATTTATCTCTATTTTAATCAGTCACACAGTACTGGATATCCAGCTCATGTCGGGCATCAGGCTAGGTGCTTTTCTGAAGACTCCCCCTAAATTTCCTGAAAAAAATGTTAGGCCAGAAATCTTTCTGGGGAAATACTTTGTCTTTCAAATGTTAGAAATGGCCAACATATGTATAGGAATATCTATATTTGTACCTACAAAATCTGTATATATATATATACACACACACACACATACACACACAGATTTATACTTTGTTAAAAGTTTTGTCAGAATGGTTAGTATTATTTTTGAAATAAAAAGGCAAACATTTCACTTGTACAATAGGAATATTGCTTATGTCATTAGTCCATACCACCTGTCTACATGCAATAGCAAACTGTAACTCAGTGCAAGGACGACCGGCTGATACATAACCTCTCTAATTGAGACTTGTTTTAGAGCTATGTTTTCCACAATTACAGGAGTCACTATGAATACAAAAACTAAGTCTCTAAACACTAGAATTCCTGACACAGTTGTTAATTGTGGACCAGAGAACTGGTTCATGTCACATCTGCTTATTTCATTAATGGTTCATCTCTAAGTCCTAAAGGATTGTAACCTTTCTCCAAAGATAACATTGGACTCATCTACATTTGCCTTCTGTGAGTACGTAGTTGGCTTACTCCATTTTGTCACTCTCCACACAATGCAAATCTGAGTGAACTCACATCTGTCACAGATCGACCCAGTTCGTGGGCAATCTTGTCCCATCGACCTGGAGTCCCTCCTGGGAACTTAACCATACTTCTTGTCAGCTGGCTAAGGTCCTCTTCTGTCCATTCAGGTGCCTACAAAACATTAAAGAAAATTAAAAAGGTAACTGGGAGAAAGCTTGTTAAAACATCCAAAAGTCTGTAAAATTATTGGTGATATGTTCCCTGCATAAAAAAATAAAAAGTATCTGAGAAGTTTAAGTTTGCATATTTATTGTATGCACTAAATATGTAAGTATCCAGAAATTTTTTAAAATTTTCTGGTGTATACCAACTAAACAAGAAATATTGCAAAACCAGGATTTTGAAGAGATTAAAAAAGAAGACATTTGGGTTTCAAAGTGAGAAACCATTTCAAAGCCTACAATATGCAATGCTGCTCGTAAAATCTTGAATTAACAAGAACAAAGATTTTTTGTTCCATGTAACAATATTTAATTTTAGAAATAATTTATTTTGAACAAGTGTATCTTGACAAATGCTAGCATGTTATGTAATTTGGGGCCAGAAAATTAGGAACTCTTGTGACCCAGACTGAACCATCAATCGGTAACATTTCAATTTTGGGAGGGTAAATGGCTTCTGAAACTTGACCAAATTGCTACACTAAGTAAAACATCTTTAAGATTATAAACCACCAAACGAAAATTGTAACAGCAGATACGTTCTCTACATTTTACTTGCCACAGTGGTTAAATCCAAAACTAAACAAAAGAAATGACTAACAACCAAGTTAGTTATTGTACGTTGCATTTTAGCATTCAACGATCCCCCACAAGAGGTAGTAACCGCTCTGGTATTAATACTCCAGTAGTCAGCAGAGATCCAGGAAGCCTACCTATTTTCCTTTAATGAAAGGGAGAGGAAGAAAGGGAGAGAGGGACAGTTAAAGAGAAAGAGGAAGAAAAAGGAAATCTTTGAGACAAATACCTTTTCTCATCACCATTTCCGATCATGAACAGGCATACATCAGGCAGTTTGCATTACAGAACCATCAGCACAGAACAGCAGTCAGAGGTGAGTGACCCCAGGGACTATCTCCACAGCTACAGCACAGCTTCTCCCTGACACTAATCCTCCCTGTCATTCTCCCACTGTGCTCTAACCACACTGACATCCGCCTGCCTCACTGCAAGCTTAAGGGGGCCCTTCCTGACTTTTTACTGTCTCCCCCAATCAATGGTTCCAGCGTGCTCTTTTCACCATGTCCAAATGGCAGCTTCACTCATAATCAAAGTGCACTGCCCCTGTTAAAGGGCTTTCCGAAAGGCTCTCCCATTTGCATTCATTTGCAAAGCAAACTACTTTTATTCACTTTGTTCTGCTATCAAGAATGTTCCCTGAAGCAGATAAATTGGCATAAATACAACCTGCCACTTAAGAGTCAGTAAATAATAGCCAATAGTAGGGAGGATTTTATCAATCATTCTATTTTGTATCCACTAAGAGCTGAAAGCCTCAAACATATTCATCAGTGCAGCCCCTACAATACATGCATAAATTCACTTACATAAAAAGGTGGCCTCAGCCTACATTGGGTCTGGTTAAAATTTCTTTGATATTTAATGAATATCACAGATCTAATTCTCCATATCTAATGATTTAAAAATTTATATATTTTTTCCTTTCTTTTGCTTTACTTAAGGGAAAAAGTATTATTCAGATTAGAGTAACAATTAGATCTTAAGAGAATATTTTTATTGCTATAAGCTGAAACTTTAAACTATACAATCAATTGGTATAAAAATACAAAAGAATCAAAATTTAAGAGAAATTTAAATATAAGTTTACAGGACAAAAGTCATACTATCAGGAGCATTATAATTGTATTTAAAAAACACTAATATAGTATTCAAACCATATGCTAAGATTATTGTAATTTTACATTAAATCATTAAATCAAATCATGTAATTTCTGTATATTTTTGAAAGAAACAAAATTATCTAAAAGGGCCAAAATACAAACCATTACTTCACACAGTAAAGTGCTTCTTCAGGATAATTTATATTTTAACTGGCAGCCTAACAGTCCGCATATAATGAACAAACAGGCATTAGAGAAAGTCTCATTTTAATTCCTTATCACTGAGAGTCTTAAAGCAGAGTAGTGCTTTTTTTTTTTTTCCTGGAAAAAAATTTTAAATAAACTATTTGGATGGCATCTTTAAAAATCACTTACTCCTATGACAATCTTTCCTTTTGGTTTGCAAAATTTCACGGACTTTAAAGAATTGTTAAACAAAGACTGATAATAATTAGGAAATCTGAGAGAATCCTTTCAGCAATTCACTCCTCTCCCTCCTACAGAGGTGAAGCACTCTGGCGAGTGTGTAATTCCTCAGCAATGGTTGTGTCTTTAGAAGCAACAGAGCTTACTGTGATCTAGCTACTACAGCAGCCATGAGGGTGGTCATGGTGTGAATGCATTCTCCTTGTTCTAATCTGGAGCCAACTGGAGCTGTGAAGTCAAATGAATGCATAAGCATACTGCTTTGCCACTTGAAACCATGTGTGTCCAATATTACTGAAACACTGGGCCAAAAATTCATCTCTACAGTAAAGTCATGGAAGATACCACATGGTGAGGGACAGCTGTTGTGACTCCACAAGCATTGCAATTTTGCATCAGAAAAACCCCCGTAGGGAATAAATCTCCATGGCAAATACAAAATAAGTTTTTGAATTATTCCATATTTTTATGTAATGAACCTGAGATAAACTTAAATTATATTTCCAAAAAATGTTTTTGGGGATGAATTTTTATCTTTTTGTCATGAAATTCACTAGGTCCAAAGATTATGCGCCTTTGACAGTCTAAACATTCTTGAAATATATGGACTGAAGTTTGCAGGGAAAAAGAACACTATTTTCTTTTAAGATTCTTTTTATTGGAAAGTCAGAATTACGAACAGAAGAAGGCACAGAGATCTTCTGTCTGATGATTCACTTCCCAAGTGGCTGCAATGGCCGGAGCTGAGCTGATCCAAAGCCAGGACCAGCAGCTTCTTCCAGGTCTCTCATGTGGGTGCAGGATCCCAAGGCTTTGGGTGATCCTCTACTGATTTCCCAGGCCACAAGCAGCGAATGAGATGGGAAGTGGAACAGCTGGAACATGAACCTGCACCCATATGGGATCCTGGCTCATGCAAGGTGAGGATTTTTCAAAGACTGCTACATATACTTTTCCTTTTACAATACAGACCATGACAACTTAATTACAAAATATGCAACTTACTTGATAACTAAGATAAAGTTTTATTTTAAATTTTTTTGAGAGGAGTAGAGACAGAGAATGAGATTTCCCCCTTTAGCAAATGCCCACAAATATTGAGGTTGGAGCCAGCAGCTGAAAACTCAATTCAGTCTCCTACACGGGTGGAAGAACTCAACTGCTTGAACCATGATTTCTGTCTCCCTGAGTCTACACCAGCAGGAAGTTCCCTCTTTCAAATCAATCAAACAATTAAGTTTAATGGCACTTAATGCAGCCACTCTCCCTCTGTATCCTTAATCCTTCTCCTCCCTTGTATTTCCAATTTCGGTTGCCTTACAGAGCATGGTGATTACAGATGGTGGCTTAGGCTTCCTGTTCTGGGTGAAGACCACATGCACTATTCTAGACAGGAAGTTGGAGGAGAGGAGGCAAACTTTAAAGGTTCTCTTGAAATAAGTATCCAGGATGGAGAGTTCACAGCAAACAGGAAACTAGTGAACTCTTAAGTGGTGTGCTTTCTATCCAACTCTTGGTACAACTTCTGTTTCATCTAATACACGATTAGTTAAGAAGAAATTACTATAAAAGTTTACTAACCTGATTCTCCCAGGTGGCCTGACAGAAACAGTACAGACTCCCAGGAGAATGAGAAACCACGGCTTTGATTCAGCACTTAACAGATACAGAGAGAACCAAGAGATGCACTATCTTAATAACAGCCCTAAAAAGCTGACTTATGGTACAATTTAAAGGGAACTGGAAACTCTTATTATTAATTAAATCCAGTTGTTGCACCCCATGGATCCGACTTTCCCCTATGTTGAAGTGGCAGATGAACTCATTACACAGACTGAAGGCACTTGGTGAGCAGCCTTTGATGTTGCCAATGTCTTCCTTGCCATACTGCTGGATCAAGCTCAGTTCATCTTCACATGGCAAAACGTCCAATGTAGGTATGTAATGATTCCCCAGAGAGGTACCTATGAACAACCTTGTCATTAGCCACCATGGGTGACCAGATTTTAGCACAAGTGCTACTATCTGGCATCCAAAGCTGGTGTTATGTGGATGATACTCGTCCACGGTACTCTTCTGGCTATAGTAGTCACCAGCCTGCACAGTAGAGTTTGCTGATAAAACCCAACAGTTCTCTGGGAGTTGTTATCAAGTTACAATGTGGGTTACTCACCATGCTTAACTCCTCTTGTCAAAGAAAAACTGCCATTTCCCAATGTTTCCCCAGAAGTTTACTCAAATCCTGGAGACAGTATATATCTGATTTTGGCACTACACATGGATAAACCTGACCGTGTACTTTGAAGTGCTCCAAAACAACAGACTGCATTTTCTGATGTCTAGAAAGCTGTGGCATGCCATCTCTGAAGGTCCACAATCCTCACTTGACCTTGTAAGTCCGTACAGCTAAATGATCTGACACCCTGAATCTCTAACAAAGGGAGACAACTTGGACCCAAAATGTTCCTTGTGTTTTGATTCACTGCCTCCCTCAAACAACTAATAAAGACACCTTTTCTGACAAATAATTATTGCCTTACTACTGATTATCAAAAAAGACTCCTGGCCAATGGAAACCTTGTGGTTCTTAACTGATATTCCCATTTTTGAGGTGAGGCAATTCAGATTCAATGGCTACTAAGAAGAGTGGGGTCTTCTTAAAAGAAGCTGTGCTTGTCAACTTGACATGGCATGTTCAAAAACACAGTTGATCTGAACCATAGTCTCCCCAATACAAAACATCAGCAGATATCTATCAGAGTTTGAGCACGATTTGGCCCCTAAACTCATGCAGGTGTTTAAACTTCATAGTCATGAGTTAATAGTACTAAGAGAGTGACAACAC